GTCGATGAAGTTGAGGTAGAGAGCTGATTGCCATTCTATACTCTGTTCTATGATGATGCGTAGTGTGGCGTTGCAATTTGGTCCACACATGATTTGTACTTCCTGAATCCAGCCTGTTCTGGTCATGTTTTGAATCCAGTGCATTGTTTAGTCTCTCCAGAATGATGCGGCTTAATATTTTGCCTACTTTGGGTGGACAGGAGAGTGATTCCCCGCTGGTTCTTGCAAAGACTTAGGTCGCGCCTCTGTGGGAGTTTGACAAGATAGCCCTTCTTCCCATAAATTGGCAGGTACCTGCCCTTCCTTCCAGACCTTCTGCAATAGTGGTGTGGTGTGAGGGTGTCCGCTGTTGTCTCTGCGTTTGTTCTCAGTGCTTCTGTCGGGATCCCATCTAGTCCTGCTGCTTTCCCACATTTCAGTAGCCTTATGGAGCTGAGGACTTCCACTTTGGTTGGAGGGTTTATGTTCACTCGTAGTTCTGTGGCTGCATGTGGTACTTCTGGACGAAGTGTAGGTAGTGGTCGATTCAAGAGCTTTCTGAAGTGGTCAGCCCATCGCTTCCTTCGTTTCGCTTGCCTGGCAATTTAATTTCCGTCATCATCTTTTATTGGTTTTATCTGTGTTGATCTCTCCCCGGATAGTAACGTAGTTATTTGATACAATGTTGTCAGGTCTCTGTCGCGCCTACCTGCAGCTCGTTCCGCTGAAGTTGCAATGTGTCGTAGAAGTGTGTTTTGTCCATGCGTGCACCCTTCACTTCTTTATCCAATTTTTATACCTTGTAATCAGTTCCTCTTTTCGTTGTGCATCCGCGCACTGGTTTATCTTCCGCTTCACCATCCTCCTCTCCCATGTGTCCGTCGAGATCCATTCCTTATCTTCTTTCTTCTTCCCTCCTAATACGGTTGTGCAGGTCTCTTTCCACACAGCTTTCAAAGAGTTTCAGTGTTCTCCCACTTACGTTTCCTCAGGGAAGTTGATTAATTTCTCCCATTTTGTCTTGGTGGCTGCCGTGAAGATTTCCCTTGTGGTTTTCATCCTTCAGTTTATGTTCTGGTTGTTCAACTGAAACTGTGGTCAATCACCAACTTCTTTGAAGGCTTTTAACTTGATTTGGAAGGTTCCTCGCACTGGATAGTGGTCTGGGCCTACATCTGCTCCTCTTCTTGACCTTGTGTCCAGGAGGCTGCGTCTCCACTTTCTTGAGATCGAGATAAAGTCGATTTGATTTTTAGTGTGTCCTGGTGTCTGGTGAAATCCATGTCGCTTTGTGGATATCCTTGTGCTTGAACACACTACCTCCAATCACCAAATCGTTGAATGCACAGAATTCTACAAACAATTCTCCATTCTCGTTCATCACCTCACCGAGCGCTTCTCGACCCATGGTTAGTTCTCTTCCTGTGTTGTCAGCTCCCAGTTTGGCATTCATGTCGCCCATTCGAATTTTGATATCGCCAACTGAGGTCCTGTTCAGCGTTGATTGCAGCTGTCCGTAGGATTTCTCCTTCTTCTCTTGATCTGCATTATTCATAGGTGCGTAGCATTGCATGATTGTGACCTTCCTTCCTTCTTTTTGAGTTGAACCTAGCTGTCATGATCATGAATCTGGGGGAAATTGGTTCCTGCTGCATGACAGAGAGGGGACATCATGATAGCCACTAGATAACTCACTGTGCCCGTGGTTGTCATCTGGGTGACGATATAGAGGTAGATTATTGATTCTCCAGTTGACAGTTTGGAGAGTCCACTCCCATTCCATCTGCTTTCGCGAATTCCTGACACTTCACTGCGATACCATCTCATCTCGTTTACAATCTGGGCAGCCTTGCTAGGTTCAAGCACGGTGTGGATATTCCATGTCCCCACGTTCACTTTCGCTTTCATCGAGGGGGATGAGACACATTGGCCAATTGGCTTCCCGAAGTCTTTCACCAACCGGCATCATTTTGTCTCCCCCATTCCAGAGAGGAATGAGTTTGTTTTTTTGTTTTGTATTTCGTTTGTGCTTTGAAGTCTCTCTAACGGTTAGATTTGTTTTATGGGGTAGGGTTGCTAGCCCTATGCTCAACCTTCCCTCCTTACCCGGGCTTAGGACCGGCTAGTAACTGGTGAACTAGCTAACCAGGTGAGGTTGAAACATGGATACATTGCTGCATTTTCGCGCATTTCTAGCAACGCAAAGTGGTGTTACACAATGGCCCATCCGATTCTCTTGCAAATATTCAGCTCATGACAATTTAAAAGAAAATATTTCGTGTACAAGTAAAGTACTTCTGTTTCTCAATCAGCTGACTGTTGCGGTCAGTAAGAAGAAAAAAGTAGGCATACTTGGAAGTTCTAAGGGCAGTTCGTGAAACAAATCAGCGTTACCTACTCTCTGAAATAATTGATAACAGCATTCACAGAAAATTCCCAGCCTGACTTTGCTGCCGCCTAAACAGCCACTATGCCATAATGAAAGACAGTGGTTGCGGCTCAGCCCAATACACCTACAAGAGAAGTACCTCAGTAGGCACCCCGCTTGACTAAAGTTTGCGTCAACTGTCTGTCAAGCGTTTCTGAATCATCATCGCCATCGTTTGCGAGTGAAGTGAGTACCGGGAGTGAAGTTGGCATCACTGACAACCGTAACACACTCGAGGCCAACCAGATACTGCCGACTGAGTAAGCGCAAGAAAACCACCAAGATTTCAGCACAACTAATCGAAAATTGATGCGCCTCAGGTATGCAGTAGGAAGTGGTGGTTGTCAGACATTGGTGAATGGCACGACCTGGGAGCAATGACATCTGAAATACTTAGTGGCTCTATATGCATGTCCGGGGCCGTCAAGAGAGCAAACCAGGTGCTAGGAATGCTCCTGAGAGCACCCTGTTGACTCTCAAAAGATAATTTTACGGCTCGATATCACACCTACGTCGACTCCAGTTTGGAACACAGGACAACCGTATGTTCCCTTAACTTGAAGAAGAATAGGTAACCACAGGGGCGAATCCGGTGAAAGCCAAATGAGGTTGTAAGGTCTATTAGATATCCCACGGGACAAGAAATTTCAGGCACTTAGCCCGTTTCACCCCGAATGTGGGTGAACGCTCAGCGATCTTATAGTGCCATGCTATGCAATAAAAATGCCCGAACATCGTACTGATCCTGGTAACCAGCGGACTAATCTTGAACTCATAAACCGGATTCGCCTGAACCTGTGCCGAAAGCAGTGGATTCGTGAATAGCGCTATGGCGTTTGAGGGGAAGGCCACTGGGTTCGTGCCTTAACGGGGCAATGTCACACTGCGGTGCAAATGCATCCCGCTGACAAGTCTCAACCAGAACGAAACGCGCATCCTGGATTCCCCCAATGGTCACGAAGATCATTGTAACATCATGAATATCCCGTTGTACCGGGGCATCTGCATAAAACCCCATCTGTCAACAGAGGCCGAGCAATTCTATCCGGCATAGCAACAGGAAATTAAAGTATCATTACAATACTTGAACATTCTGCACGCAGTCCTCCTGATTCAGTGATTACTAAGGGTTCTGAAAGTTGAGACTGCAGCAGCCGAGGTCCGAAATAGAGACCTGAAAATATGAAGCTGCCTGTCGTCGATATCATCTCAGCTGTTTCATGGGTGTCTTCAAGAAGTACTGAAACTATGTATGCGGTCGATGCCATGGCAGTGAGTGGCAAGCTGCCACCAATAAAAACCACATGATCCGTCCAATGATTCGGAGTATGTGAAACGCAGTCAAACAACAAACTGAATCATTTTTCAGCCAACATTATATTACGAATGTTGAGTAATAACCCGCCTAAGATCTACTATACATAAAAAAGGGGTGACTACCAGCGCGAAATCATCATTATGGTGTGAGTCTTCCTGGCTCCAAAAGGCAAAGTTTCCTCCTATTTATTCCCATACATCAATGACCTGCCGAATACCGTGAAACCCCTTATGATTCCCTGAGCTGATGTAAAATATGGTGAGAAATTAGGGACGACAACATTGTACATGCACTTCAGGCAGACCTAAACCGCTAGTTTGCCTGGTCAGAGAAGTGGCCCATGCACATCAACGCAGGTAAATGTGCTAGCGTGCACATGGGACACACAGGTAGCAACACCTATGATATTGGCAGAACTCGTCGACGTCCATTTCTACCCAGCAATGACTAAAGAGCTGCAGTAAGTTATGGTTTGAAGACTGCAGCGCGCTGTCGATCTGTCGCAGGCTGGGGTTTTAGGACACTGGGCAAGACGCAAAAAGTTCACAAAGGTAAGGGGTGGTATGTTTATTATTTTGTACACATTCTTATTTAGTTCTAAACTAGCAAACTTTACGTAGGTGGTAAATCCTCGTCTGAGAGATGACTCCAACCCACTGGAAAGAGCTCAGAGAGGGGCCACTTGCATGATCCTTGCCATGGCTGGGCTGACCCGTGAAGATCGACTGAAGTAGCCGAACCTCTGCTCGTTACTCTGCAGAAGACCCAAGGAAAATGTAATTATACTGCGCATGATCATAGGAGATGACCTTGAACCCTGTGTTTCTTCATTCTTTCTTCTCACTAGGTCAAAGGACCCTAGAGGACATAAAAAAGAATCTAAAGCGAAGAGCAAATATTCTCTCGTTAGAGTACTGGCTCTCGCGTTGATAAATCAGCTGCTGCAACCAATCTGAAGGGAGTGCTGTTCACGTCGTCAACCCCTTCTTTAAAAAGGGGACTGGTGAAGCACAGAGATCTACTGAATTATTGTAAGCTCATAGCCTTCTGTCGTCAAGCAACAAATCTGGTGAGTGCTGAAATCCCCATTTAAACATTAGGAGAACAAGCAGTATAAGCGAAGAAATATTCCTTTCTAATTGAAAAGAAGGATTTCTCCGCTCATATTGCTTGTATTCTTTATATCTGACATATCTACTCGTTCAGTCACCGAGACATTGGGTATTGAACGAGTGACTATCTTATGTTTTGTACCGTTACGAACGGTTTTCGCACATGAGCAATAATAAACCAAATGAGTTGTTAGTTAATAATTTCAAAATTCCCAACTGGTAAGTCACTTCAAAGTTTTCGAGTGCTTTGCACACTGATATAGGTCAGGGAAACCACCACCTGGATTGCATCTTGATGTTCTTAAAGATGGGAAGCTGGTGCAGGTATATTCACTTTCTGTTTGTGGCTGATTGATATAGAAACTTATTATAGATGAGAAAAGTTGTTACTTTTTCGGTAGAAACAGGCAGTTGTGTGACTTTGCAGTGGACCATCAGTCCTGTTCACGTGTGCATGCAGTTTTGGTATGGCATAAATTTCTTGGTCGAGCGTTCCTGATTGACCTGGGGAGCGTTCATGGGACATTTATTGAAAAATAAAGTTGGAACCGCACCGACCACAGCAGGTAAAATTTGCTCCTCATACAACTTTTAATATTGTTTTTTGATATGTTGTGTGATAGGCGAGAAATAGATAGCAACGAAGAACACAGATGTTTTCTGTAGTTTTGTCTCATAGATCTGCTTTACTATGCACATTTTTCATGATGTTTTTTAGGCTTTCACATACATGTACTTGTCAGTTGATGAAGATTCTTTTGTCATTAACATATTATTAAGAATTACGCGATTACAACAGTCGGGAATTTACAGCAGATGATCATTTTTCCAAAATAATTGTTAGTTGCAAATACTGTTATTACGGCATCCTTTCCTGGCAAGTACTAGTGCAGTTGCAACAGTCTACCAAAGCCAGTGGGTGCTGTCACTTGACTCAAACTTGGGGTGCTCTCGATGTTTTGGTGAGGTTGTGTGTAGCATTTGCTGATGATAACAGTTCTTTGCCTATCCACTCTATACGAATTGCATTCAAAGTACTCAAAGTTTGTTTTAGCCTCTTGCTTCGAGATAGGTATCTCAGCATTTTCATGGAGCAAGGCAAAATGGGTAAAATTCGCTTCAAACCCCGGGGTATGGCGTGAGGTTGCGCAACGTCACCCCCCCCCCCCTCCCCGACTTGTCTCGTGCTTCCCCGCTCAGTTTGCAAAGTGTTCTTGACTTTTAAATTTGCCTTTCTTCTGTCTTCACTGTTTTCAGCCCACGTTATTTTGAAAGGCCCAGTCTGATATTAGGTGTATATGGCTTTGCGAAGTCCTATGAAGTCAGAAAGATATGTTGGATAATGGTTAGACGAAAAGCAGTTACCATTATACTGTCTATTACGCTATGTTGGGGAGGTGTCTGAGGGCGAAATCATACTAATGACTGAACAAGAGTGACTGACAAAATCAACATAGAATCTCTTACACAGGTGCATAGGCTCGAGTTGCCACAGAAGTATGCAAAAAACATGGGTAGAAAAGGAGTGATATCAAGGTAGATTCCTTTCGTGTCGGTGACGCTAACCAGGCAGTTTGCTTGTCCCCAGTGAGAGACTTCACCGGCCGGTGCTATGTCTTGATGTGATCATTCTGAACCCTCTTCCAACCTAATCGAACTTCACCCAGCATGGCACGTCGAGGTAGACGGTAGCGTGACATACACAGTACATGTCCGAGTCATCTTAGTCGACTAAGGTTCACAATCTCATTAATCTACTTGCTTGTTTCGCCTAGTACCCTTCTGACGTCAACATTGCTCACATGGTGATCCCACCAAACATGAGCAATGCGGCGAAGACACACACATGGTCAAAACCCTATAACTACTTCCTGTCTTCTACTTCTTCTACGGTCAGCTCTGAGCTGTACAGCAGAACAGGACAAACTGCAGTGCAGTTACTCGTTCTTTGATAGATAGTCAGATATCTTTTCAGTCAGTACCAGAGATGTCGCAAGTTGGCAAATGCCAAATGAGCCTTCTTTATGCTAGCTCCGATTTTGTCCGCAACCAGCCCGTTCGGAAGGCTAATGTGACTCTTCAAGTACGTGAAGTGGTTGACACATTCTACCACTTCACTCCCTATCACCAAACCGCGAGTGGTTAAAGACTAGTCGTGGAGCGTGGAGCATCGTCTTACACTTGATAGGTGCGAGGCGCATGCTAGCTAGGTTTCTACTCAACGCGTCCAGAAGACCCTGCATTTTGTCAGCGTCTCCTTACAGCAGATCAATATCGTCTGCATACTTCAAGTCAACCAAATAACCTCCAGGAAGTAGATCGATCACTGTAACTTCAGACGTATCTAAGGTTATGTCCAATAAGTACGTCTATGATGAAGTTAAATGATGACGGCGGACACTACTAGTTGTCGTCAATTCTGATGACAACTCTCCGTAAGCCCTTACGTGGATGCGTGAGTTCGAGTAGGAGGCTTTGATTAGCGTACTCCCTTCACAGTTAGACACTACCATAATACCTCACGGTCGACTGAGTCAAATACCGCCCTCAAGTCAAGAAACATGTCAAGTGTCGACCACTGGCCGATAGATGTGTTTGTGTTCCAGAACCTGTCGTAGGGTAAAAATATGTTTCACCCTCGTCTAGCTCTATCTAAAAATGTCTGGGTTTCTCGAGTTTGCTATTCTCAAGGTCCGGTTAGGTGTTGGATAACTATGAACCCAAAAATCTTGGACACAACATTAGTCAAACTAATTCCTTGTATGGTTTTCACAGGAAGACTTCTCTCCCTTATAGACAGGGATGATTAGTAAAGCATATATCTGACGGCACTACCTCTGATTCCCATACACTACCTGATACCTCCGTCAATCTATTCAGCTGTTTCTTACTTCCATGCTTGCAAACTTCAAATGGCAAACTGTCAGGTCCTGGTACTTACCACCTTCTCAAGTGCGATACAGCTTTCCCAACTTGAAAGAGAATTGGAAGACCGACATCTACGTCAGGTTCAGGCTGGATAGTGAGTGGCAAGCGTTGCTGTAGGCCAGTTGAACTGTGTTCTAAAGCGTTCTTCGCAACGTTCCAGCTGTCTGTCATGAGAGGTTATCAGCGTCCCATTCTTTTCAGTGATGGTTTCACTAATAATCGTCTTTTTGTCGGTACCCTTAATAAGCCTAAAGAGTTGCTGAGTGTTACCCAATGCTGTTGCCATCTCTCTCGCCTTCACCATCTACCACTCCTCGAAACTATTGGGAAGGTTCATGGTCAATTTACGTTTAAGTTGGTTTGCGGTTCATCGTGGTTGGAGCTCGCTGCAATCATTCTTCTTGCGCCAATCAGTTCGAATGACGTCGCGTTAATTCACCGTCGTTTGCTAACCTTCGGTTGTAGGTTACCAACTGTCTTTACCGCTGTTTTGTAGCAGATTTAATGTCGCACTAAATTTCTTCAGGATGAGAATCGCTGTTATGTCCAGATAAGTTCTTAACAAACGTTTTGCTTTCTATAGCGAAATTGACAGCTTTTCATAGAATTCATCCTTTGCATCATCCGAACTACAGTCTGTGGATGCGTATTCGTAGTTTGATGATAGGCATCAGGTGATTTCATGATAGTTCTCAGTTCTTACAGATGCATTCAGTCGAGCAGCATGCAGACGGCTGTTTGCTGATATCAATTCAAGGAGCATACCTTTCGCTCTACGGGACTACAGCTGAATGTTGTGCCTACATCAGTGAATCCACAAGCGCTAGCCATTGTGTTTCCGGATATTACTTCAGGGAGTGTGGATGTAGTAAAGGTTGGCCCCAAAATAAGCATACCTACCAATGCCTGCATCAGAGATTCATAGTCGGATTCGAAAGCAAACCACCAAAATTTCAAACTTGTTAAAACGCTGTGTGTGACGGGCCTCAAGTAAACGTCCCTTAAGCTCCACAATCACTTACTAACCTTTCTTTTTCAGGTACTTCAAGAAGACTTAACATTCCGCATCGGGAGCAGCCGAGAAGTGTCAACCACACTCACAACTATGTTAACTGTACCTCCCACATCCTTACCTTCTAATCTTCTCTCACGTCTTTTATCGTACATAATTTTTAATTTTTCTCAGCTCTGCAGCTGTCGAGAATGACGTGACTTCAAAGGACAGCACCCATAGTCTCTTGGGACTGCACTCCAAGTTACACATTGAAGCTTTCAATGACTGGACCTCACCGGTCTACTTCACTGATAGTCCCAGTCTTCAAAAAATGTGAGGTCCTCCTGTGATAACCACTGGAGAATCCGCCTGAAGAATAAGGCGTCTAAGATTCTGGGTTCTATAATTGCTGGACGTCTGAGTGGAGCTCGAGAACAACAAGCCAGGTTTCATACCTAGCCATGGTTATGTCGACCAGATATTCACGTTGCCCCAGGTCCTGGGACACAGACACACTTATGGGTGCCCGATACTAGCTTTATCACTTGATTTGAATGCTCCTTTCGACTCCGCTGTTCGGGAGGCCACCAATAGGGGTGCCAAACAAGTACATCACTCTGTTGAAAGCTGTTTACTGGAGCACCCATGGTAGTGTTAGAGCCCGTGGTATGTTGTCAGGTGATTTATGTACATCGAATAATGTCTGTCAAGGATGCCCACTCCATTCCTGTTCAGTTTTATCATAGACGTCTTTATAGAGATCTCCCTCTCGTCATGTCATCACAAGGATTGTCATATTCACAGGAGACTCCTTGGTGAATCTAGAGTATGCAGATGACACAATCCTGTTAGGCGAAAACGCTGACAAGATACAGAGTTCTAGATACATTGGGTGGCAATTCTAGAATACGTAGGATGCGTCTTTGGCCATCAAAATGCAAACTTTTGCTTCAGGACTGGTCTTCAGCGGTACCCAGTCTAACAACAAAGTGAAGCAGTTGGGTGCATTGACCACAACTCACCTAGGAAGTCGGATCAGCCGTGGTTCGTCAGCGACCGACAAAATCTCTACATGGATACGAAAGGCTCGACTGATGTTTGCCAAATTGCTCCATCCGTGGCGCCACCGCGATATCCGATTGCCGATTAGGTTCGAGTGAACTGTACTAGAGTTCTCTGTGAAACATCTCCATTAAAGGTAGAGGACATGAGAAGGTTTCAGGCGTTTGATCACCCGTTGCCTTCGTAGCATGGTCTGACCACTTGAGTAACGTAGAAATCAGGTGTAGAGTTTTAAGGAGAGGAAATTCACTTGGTGCGGTTGTGAACCTTCGTTGACTCAGGTGGCTGAGGCATGTGTTACTCATACCTAGTCACTATCTACCTCGCGCATTTTGGCTGTGGTAGGTTTTGACTGAAAAAAGACTCGGGGTGGTCAGACTAAAACATGACATTACTGCATGCAGTCCTTGACTGTTGGTTTGAGCCATGTTGGGAGATGCAGATTAGCTGGTTGGGTTCCGTGTGACAACAGAAACCAGTGGTTGGAGACTAGATGATATAGCTCAGAATCGATGTTGCTGGAACAGATATATCTGCACTTTATCTTAACCATTATTCTGAATGCAGCATTTTCTCATTCCTATTTCCTCTCTTTTACTGCTTTCAACCGATTTTTCTTCATCTCTCACCTTAGTGCTTTGTTACTTGTGCTTACATTAGGTGTGCCAAGTCCACCACTATGTAGTAATGCCTGGTCCAATGTTGATATTGATTTGATTGATTAGCAGTTCATCAATTATAGGTAGAACTTTCCTCCTTTATTGCAAATCGTTTTCCACATTTCCTTTGAAGCCACTGCCAGACTATGAGTCTGTAAGCTCAAGGATCAAAATTTGACCTGATAGAGTTAGATAAGTTGAACTTTGAGTTAGTGGACTATAAATGAATTCGGTTTGTAAAATCTCAGTGAGGTAGAAAAATAAATTGACGTTTAGCCAGACTTTTGGTGAGTAACTGAGAAGCATGGAGATGTCTGTAAGTTCAGGTACGAATGAACAGCTAGGTAAAATAGGGTCATTGGAAAACAAAAACATTACTTTGATAGGTTGATAGGATATGCATCTTTCAGAAGTTTCTTCAGCTGATATCATATATCATACAACTTCCCGTAAGCTGTTTTAAGAATTCCTAGTGTTTTGAAATATACGAACATAAAATCCGGGGTTAAGTAATTGTAATTGGTCACGTTATCTCCAAAACAGTGACTCGTTTGTTTCTTTCGCAGGTGCCGATCGACTCTGAACTACATTTTGGTGCCTCCACCCGCATATACATTATTCGTGAACGTCCTAATCCCTTGTATAATATTCCCGGGAATCTTGCAGATCCAACGTCACAGTCACTAGATGGAAATGGTACGATGGGTCCAGAAAATCGCAATGTTGATGGATTTGATTCAAATATGAATTCTTTAGGGTTACTTTACTCTCAGCTTCCACAGTCTGAAGTTGAATTAGATAATTTAACTGAGTTTAATACAGCACACAATAGGCGGATCAGTAGCATGGTTGACGTTGCCTGTAATCCTACAACACTTGTTAATAAAACGCGAAGATCGCTTCAAAGCGTTCACTTTAGTGATGCAGATGAGGTTATAAATCCTGAAGATGTTGATCCTTCTATTGGCAAGTTCCGAAATCTCATCCAGGAAACCTTTATACCAAATAAGGTAGTTTATTATTGTTATTCATAACTAATTTTACGTTATTTCCACTTACTTTGACTAATTCATTTCATTGTATCTACACAAAAATCATTGGTGGAAATCGACTCGATGACTGGTTATAACAGTTAAGCTTGTGTATATCTGATATTGTATCTGGGATTACATATTGCCTGTGTTTGTGCAAAACGACCTAGCAGATAATTACAAGTAAGTGGAAAACTTGGACCGAGGCTTCTTGACAAAACTTTCCAGTTCTTTAGTTCAGATATAATCTTTTATGCCAAGTTGTCTGTTAACCCTTATCTGTCTGCCTATTTTTTTTGTGAGAGCTATTTGTAAGAATGCATGTAAGTAGTGTATATGGCAACAAATAGAGTGATAATGATCAACTATTGAGGAACCAGGAAAACGGATATACAACATTGGATTGGAATGTGAAGCGCTAAAACCGTACGGAAGAATATACAGAACAAGAGATTATTTGCAAATGGATAACTTATTGTTAAGTTTAGTATTTTATCATTGTCAGTTTTATTTTCTCAATAAACAATTCAGCCACTTCATAGTGATCAAATTATTAAAAACATGATTGATAAAATCTGACTATCACTGATGGCAAATGTATAGCACTATCAATCAGCGTAATTGAATAAAAACATTCTTCTGAATCGTAAAATTTTCTGTTCGCATAACGTAACTGTAATACATGAAATCATCCCCAAAGTTACAATCTAAAATGTCATAAAATTGAACCCATTACATCACAGGCTGAATCCCCTGACCAAATCATGAATTTAGAAAAACTTGATTCTATTTTGAATTCTCCTGCTAATGACTTAGTAGAATGACCTAAGTGCGGTTCTTTATTTTCATCTTACCATTTGACTATTTAAGATAGACGTGGTTTGACTGACTATTTATATTGGGTGATGATTGAAAGTGAAATGAAAATTCGAACCAGTGACCACCGTGTTTCAGAGCCAGTGCGTCTGCATATTCATCACCTTTACTGAGTCTGTGGTATGCATTCAGTTTTTCTAAAGCTACTCACAAACCTGTAACGTTATTTACTAAAATTATTGGAACACATTGTAAAATATGTACTGCAAGAAATGTGGTATACGTAATAAAATCCTGAAGAGGAAATAATGTAAAGAATAAGCAGACTTACTAGTAAAAGAGAAGCAACCAAATCAGATACATTTGACTAGCGTGATACCATCTTCATCCTCGTTTCGAAGTCAGTGATATCGGCTAAGTTGCTGTAGTACGATAGTCACGTGCTGCTCAGATTTTTATTCCAGTTCCCACTTTCCTACTGCTTTTACTTTCGAAACCGAAGTAATTATTAATTTTATATAATAATAATACCAAGATCTGATCACCATTTAAGGTACTATATGAGGAGCTCATCTCGCGAAAATGAATGTGTCAAGGTTGACCCCTCCCTACGTAAAACAGGGAGTACATTTCGAACGACATTCAAGAAAAGTTAATCCTGATTGATTTTTAGAAATGTCTCAGGTCGTCGAATCTCATAATTGCTTAAAGCTCATTCAGAACCTGGTGATATTGTTGCTGATCTCACGGGGTCCAGTCTCCCAACTGCCCATAATGGTAGGTAGTTTGAAGGTCTTCAGCACTTAGTATGAAAAGCGATTTGGATTCTCACATGATGCCTCAGTTTTACGTTAACACAACTTTTCACACGCTTACCAGAAAGTGTTCTATCCACTCAGTATTTTGAACGTAACTGATACCATTATCTATCCGGTAGGCTTAAAGTTCCAAGTAATTGTTTATACCCAAACAAAGTTGAATGTTGGTGGTATGAGAAAATTTGGGCTTTAGATATGTGTTCATTATTTTGGTATTCGTAATGAAGAGAAGTCCAATGGAGTAGTGGATACTTTATTAGGAGAATGCAACTGATAATAGTGAAAATACTAAACCTTACAGTATTGTTCCCAATTGCAAACAATCTCTTGCTCTGCATTTTAGTCTGCATCGTTTTCGCCTCTTTTTATTTTCATTGAATGTTGTGTTTTTTTGCCCGAATCAGTCGATCGTTATAGCTTTCGACGTTGTATTGCATACTACTTATTTGTATTGTTAAAAGCCCTGTCACTACAACCTTTCGCAATGAGCTAGAAAGATATGTTTTCGTTTTTACATGGTAATCAGTAGTATGAAGGATAACAAACAAGTAGTACTTCATTTCTCCAAAGTACTATTTTAAGACTTGTGGAGCTCATGGTTCATTGGTTTAGGTAGTTGACTTTCAATCGATGAGTCATGGGTTCAAAACCCTTTCAACCTACCGAGGATTGGACAGCCAAGTAGCATCATATTAACCCTCACACAACAGGTATGACTCACTGCCAAGTTGCCGGAGAGCATTTAAGGACTAATAAATATATTCTATTTTTTTAAAGTAGCATTTTGAAGAATTCACTGTTTTACTAGATAAGCGTATACTCGTTTGAAGTAACTGGGTTTCTTCTTAGACCGGCTAGTTCATAAATAAATTACTGTCATTTTACAACTACTTATGCTTCTGTGCACAGTTAATAATTGTTGATTAGTACACCTTCGCTACTCTGACGTGTAAAAATGTAAGAAGTTAGAATACAAGATGCTTTGCTCAGTAAAGCTGAAAATTGTACAGTAAAATAGCTATTGTCTGCTCTTTTTTTTGCATGATTATTAACTGTGAAATTCTATGCAGAAAACTTGTCATTTTCCCTACTAGTCAACAACTGAGTTATTCCAGTATAATTTAGCATGGTCAAACAGCATTTAATAATCATCCAATTACCATTTAATGCACAGATTATCAGTCTTGACTTAACACTGAAACGTTGTCCGGCAGGAATTCTTTTGATTTGCTCAGATATTGTGTAAACACACAACGCGGTGTATGTATTGGGTGGTCGAAATCTACTCAACGTCTAGTTATTTTTAAATGTTTAGATGTATACTTAAGATGTTTAAAGTTCCTCGAAATGGAGTTTCGTAGTAAATCTTTGGATAATTTACTCAGTCTTTTTTATACTTTGATTGCATCAGTAAAACATTTCTGTTGTATAATGTTTTTGTTTCTTTTTGAAGCGTACTAAAGGTAGTCATGAAGGTGCTAGCTTAGGGGTTGCTGCACCAGACTTGCCTGAAACTCTTCGAACAACTGGAAAGACTACCACCACCACCAGCTCTACTACAGAGGTAACTCATTCTGTTCAAACCTCAGGAAACAGTTTGATGCACGTAAACAATTTATTCGGTCCGAATTACAGTTTGGCCTCTAAACTTGGTTTACCAGTTCCAAATCTTGCTCCAGACGTTGAGAATGAACCTCAAGAACCTACTCTGCCTCCAACTGTGGCAATGCTTCATGCCTTTGCACATTCAAGGCCTGGAAGTTTGGCAGCTGGATTATCGGAAGGCAAACATGTTGGTGTATCTAAACTGAGTGCCAGCGACATTCTGGGAACCTCGGCTGAATCAGAGGGTATTTCTGCTTTGGGTCAGGACTCAGGTTTTGATATGGGTCTAGTTGACTCAAACTATCCGAAAAAGAAGAAGTACGCCAAAGAGGCTTGGCCTGGTAAGCGTCCAGGATTTCTGGTTGGACCTAAGGCTTGAAACATTGAATTTTTTTGTTCTTTCTAAACAACTTTAATTTATTTTCTACTTTTCACCGTATACAAATGAGATTTCCATTATGTACATTAGTTGTGATTGAAAATTCTATCGTGTTTGCTTCAGTCTACTGCAGTAATAATAGTGTGTTCATCAGTAATAATATATGGAATCTGTTTTCTTATGTTTATAAGTCAGATGTATAGGTGTGTATGTACCAAGTCTCATTATAAGCAAACTTGTTCGATACACATAATCACTTTGAGTGAATTTTGTCAAAGTATACAATTCCTGATGCTGTTCACACACTATGAAACATTGTAAATATAACATTAAAATACACTTTCTATTTTGACAATATTTTATATGGAGACTGAATTTACTTGAATGGAAGTACTAGTTGCTGTAGCTTGTTTGTTTTTATTTTAGCAAGGATAACAATATTTTCAGGTTCGCTTAACTAATTCATCGTGTCTGTTGGAATGTAACAACTTGACCTATAAGTTAGTAATGACCAAGCGAAGAGTGATTTTGTAATGTAGAATAGGCCTAGTGTGTGTGATGTGATGTATCCGCTACCACTTTTCATGCACATTATTTCTTTCTCATCTGAAAAACTCAACTTTTATCATATTGAGGATTTCTTTGACACTGAAGTTGAGATAGACACGTGTTGATCGGTTGTTGTATCTCCAAGTGTGTATTCTACACATGTACTCCTGACTAGTTTGCCTTACTAAATGTGGTTTACTACTTCGACTGTAATTATAAATGGAAAATACTCATAAAATCCCAATGAGGTAGAAAAATGAATTTCTGACGCTTCGCGACTTCGTGGAAATCGCTTATCCGGAGAATAAAACCTTGACAAGTTACCGACTGTTCAACCACTAAATGGTGACAAGTCAGATCACATTGTTCATACATAATAATTTGGTCATAAATGTCGTTGCTATATTGGTCAGGATACGTTCAAACTTGTCTTTGTTATCTGTTAATAGATAACAGAGGAACAGTCAAACTGACCTCAAGCTACTTATTCTTTCTCCGCCATCCAATTGGATAATTCATCGAGCATTCTTGCAAAATTTGAAACTGCTGTAAATAACCAAAAACGCGTAAGAGCAGCAAGTTCCAATGTAATTTAAGTACGGTGGTCGAGGATTATTGGGTAGAGTAACTTAAGTGTTATCTGGTGCATGGGAATTAGACACGATCTCATCTAACTGGGAATCCTCTTGTGGTAGCCGTAGAGGAATCCGTTTTACAAACAGTCTGAGATTTTAGTTTCTACAATTATTAGATACGCAAGTGAATGTCAAAGACAGCGGAATTGAGAAAGATTGGCAGCTTAAATACCTGGTACTGAAGAGATATTTTATATATTATTATATATTACCTGTCGCAAGGCCTCGGAACCCAGATACACTTACCGTAGTCTCACACTACTTTTATTGATTGATCTGTAGGCGGCACTAGACTCCATTATTTGAGAAGTCGTATTAGAGACATTGTTTCTCATTGAAAGGGGTGTTGGGTAGGTATGTCATCCTGTTGAAGGCTGTGCTCTACATCCGAACCCTGCTGGATGCGTGAAAACTAGCTCTTATTTGGTCAGGAGCTGGATTTCGCAGCTCAGTTGATAGAGGATCGGACTGATAATCTCGGACGCCTCTCTTTCGAATCCTGCCACGACGCAGATTTTCATTTCACCTACAGCCATCACTGACAATCAATGATTTTTATACGTCATGTGTCCACTGAACATTCTTGTTTAATTTTGTCATAGAGGTGGTTGTGGAAGCCTCCTTGTCCTCTTTGTTTGAATTCACACAGGTCGGCTCTGTCGTCACCGGTTGCGTAGGAGACCTAGAGTATGCAGATGACAGTCTCGTTAGATAAAGAGTCTGTAGGATTCCTTGAATGGGAATTCGCGATATCTTTCTCGCCCTATGAATGCGAATTGTTACTCTAGGATTGGTCTGCATTTGTGCCTCTTGACTCACGGGGGGGGGCGGGGAGTGGTTGATTGCGTTGACCACTTGACTCGTGAAGTCGGATGAGACCTGATGAGTTAGTGGTCGATACAATCTTTGTCCGGGTTCAAGTGGCCCCACTAACTTTTGTCATTTTATACCATTTATGGTACCAAGGGGGTATCTGATTACCGACTAAGGGTCGATTGTGTGCAGTAGTTCACTCTGCTTCAAAATATGAATGTGAAACTGGGAGGAGATAAGAAGCCCTCAGATATCCGACCACTGTTGGTTTCTTAGCATAAACCGTGCGCCGTTCGATCACTAAGATAATAACCTAGAAGTTAGGTGAACTCGGTAAGGTGGTTGATGAGGTCGGTGGGGGCTTATCGACCCAGAGGGCTGAGGCATGTGTTATGCATGTTTGGGCACCGTTCGCTGGGACGCGCTTTTTTAACTGAAGTAGGTTTAGCCTAGACTAAGGTCTATGGCCAGCAAACTAAGGTATAGTATCAGTCCTTGAAGTCTGATCGCTCATCTTAACAGTATAAGAAAACATATGCTTGTAACAGTGTAACAACGGAAATCGGCCGTGAGAGACAGAAGGTGATATTGCTCTGGATTTGATCTCAGTGGTGCAGATATATTCACACATTACCTCCATCTGAATCGTCATATTGAATTTTGCTATCTTTCTATCTCTTCCTATGAATTTCTGATATTTTGATTACTTTTACCTTTGTGCATCGTACTTGGATGTACTGATGTAATGTACGGTGACGTGTACGATTATGGAGTGTTCCCAGATCGCTCACTGATATTTACTGGCCAACTTAGTCATCATGGACAATGGTATGATTGAACCATCATGCTAGAAATACAGATTTTAGTCGAAACAATGTATCCGAACCTCGACGCTAGTCACCGTGGTGTGTGGGGATGATAGATTCAAAACAATTATTTTCAATATTTTGCCAGTGAGATCTTATTACGGAAATTTATGTGATCTTATTTAAAAAGGTGAAATGTTCTAATGAATAGGTGTTGGACACCAGCAATTGCAATGACAGTCGCGGGGTAGATGTTGTAAATAATTCTGTTTTGCACAATTGAGTCAATGGGACTTTAATGGCTGGTCAGATTTTCGAAAAACCTGAAATCAAACCTTTATTGTAGACAAAGGGTGAATACCGAGGCTGAAATAGAAACTTGACTCTAGAAGATTTAAACCATAGTTGTCTTGGTTACCTTATCAGTACTCTCCCCACTGAACTACGTAACTCATCTATCGACCGACTTCCCTTCAATCGCCTACGGTCCTCTAAGCTTGTTGGTTTCTCTCCTCTCTAATTATATTTGGTTTAGGTTGAGACAGACTGGGTGAGGAACCAGTGTGATGCCGGACGAGCAGTCACATATTACGACATTCATGTGACAAAAAGAAGTTGAAACTTGGTCAACAAGTGGATCCCATAGGTCAGCTGGTATAGTATCACACAAGTAACGTATAACCCGTTCATTCTTATCCTGTCATTTCGAACTGAATCATCGGTTTATCAAATTTAAATCTAAGTTTCAAACAGGTAGAACTAGTCTACGCTTTTGTTAAATAACACCTGTAAAGAAACGTTTTTAAGAGCATACGAACATGAGCTTATCGAATTGAATTTATGAGAAACTGACAGTTGAGAAGTAAATTTAACTGTTTTGGGGGTATATTTATACATTTCGTCTATTTGTTGATCAAACAATTCCCGAACATTGGTATCCTCTGGTATCGGCCAGGCCTATAACGAATGTGTTTGACTTTTCTTTAACCTAACTGAATTGAATAAGAATTCAATCCTTTAGGAACCTTGATTTACGAAGCAGTAATACGTATGACTCATTTGTTTTCTAATAAGGGTGTGTATTGAATGGAAACATAATTTACACTAATGTTAGCTTCTATTTCAGGGGACAGATCATCTTATGAGGCTGCATTTTTAAAGTCTTTACTTTTCACCAACTGTTAGCTCCCTGAACTTATAAACCCATGAATACTGTTTCACAGTAGACAGTTGTGGTCATAAATTGGATTACGATTAAAACAGTGTTCTACGATGACAAATTGATTTCAATCTAAAGAGAAGATAATAGTGAGTTTAATGTTTGGCATGACTGAATGATATGGCTACACAATTCATATCAAAAAATAGTAGTGCATAAGTATTATCACTTAGTTCTTGTCTAATAGTATTCACAATGTCACCTAGCTCATGGCGCTAACAGGAATAAACTACACTTAGACCGTCACCGTACAGAAAAGCTTTTCCTGGGGGTAAAGCAATTTCAAACATTGTACATTTATTCCTGATTGCGTTGTATTCTCTGAGCTGGGTGGTTTAGTCGTGAAGCTTTCATTGTTTTTCTGGACAACATCAGCACTAACGTCAATATAAAGTGAGCTGTCAATATCTCTCCGTTAGTGTTTCAGTAACTTATCCTTGCAAGGTAGTTTATGTTTGGGTGTTTCCTTTAACTATTGTGTCATTGACCGCAAAGATTTTCCTATTGGGTGTTTCTCTGCCTGACCTCTGAACTTTCAGATGTTTATTATTTTTCTTATTGTTTGACAGATTGGGTCTATTTCTATGCATCTATTGATCTCTGATTGATGTGAGTCCTGACCTTCTAGGAATTCTCCAATATTGTTTGTATTCCCTATGTCCAGTATTTCTACATTCCTTCACAGTCATCCATGTCTGTTGATATGAGCGACGAAATATCGTGACGTTTAATTGCCAACTGATGTTCAGGTAAACGAAGGCGAAGAATAAGAAAAATAAATGTTAATTTAACGAAATATAAAAAACATTGGGAATCTGGTGAACAGTACATTGAAATAGAGCTTCTTTTATCGATTCGCTCTTTGTACAAGATAATTTTAATTTCATTAGCAGTGGCCATGTTTCATATCCATTACTCCGCATAGTGGGAACTCACAATTACATAGTAGCATGAATAATTCAAGTATCCATAAAATAA